ACCTTAAGCAAGAATGCCAAAGATAGGATTCAAGCCAGAACCATCAAACAAAACTTTTCAGCAACACTTCAACAGGGCTACAGTATCCTCTTCCAGATGCTGCCACTACTGCTGTCCCCTGTTTCAGCTAAACCGGCAACACTGGCAGCAAAGAACCAAGGAAAATCCTGGGGGCTGAGAAGAAGAGGCAGTTATTTGGTCTGAGTGTTCAAAAGAGGACATGAAAAAAGGTTTGCCAAAAATACCAGGAAATACCAGCTACCAGGAAAAGTGGTATTTCTCAAAGGTCCTGTATCAAGGCCACTTTTCAGGTTAAAACTTCATTTTTAAATTTAAGAAATATCACATAGATACTTTTCTTCTATATTATATTCAGATGATGTATGCCATGTAGGAAAAAGTTTTTAATGATTAAGGATAAACATTTGCATTTTGTTGTAATTAATATTTTACCCTGTTTTCGCAATGTCTTAATGAACACATGTAAACCTCAAAAGAAATGCAAGAATTTAAAATAGTGTCTGTTTTTGCAACCAAGTTATGTCCGGATTATACCAAAAGCTTTTTATACGTCTATTTATAATACAATATAATAAAACCCACCCAGGATTCTAATGCTTGAAATCATAGTCCATAGTGGTTTATAAAGATTTTAATCTAGCCATCAAGCATGTATCAAATTCTCCACATGCAGCTTTGTAACATATCTCAGTACTTGTTTTTTGGAGAACAAGATTTGAATATGAATAGCTAGTTGATAGAATTACAATTTAGCTTTAAACAATCTAAATCGGTCATCAATCATCCCAACCCTAAATCTGTTTTGATTACTTTTATTGCCACTAGATGTCCCCATTCTCCACACAATTACAGTATGAATATTTATTTAGAAACAGTTAAAATAAAACACAGCTGAATATAAGCTATGTAAGTTCCAAATCAATGGTCAAAAATCTCACTGAAATCACATTCGGCAGAATTTGCTGTGAAATAGATTATTGGCTTCAGTATAGTTTGAAATGGACTCCACAACAACAGTCACAACAGCTACTTACAAACTCAATACCTAAGACTACTGACAAAAGTTCATCAGGTTTTTCTTTTTTAAGTTTCAGTGCATGGTCAAAACACCGATACGTGGGGAATCTCTGTTATTCAGTAACATTAAGTCTATTATTTGAGCATGTGAAAACTGTAGAATAAAACCTTTGAATGCTTACACTCCTTTAAAATCTATGATATCTCTATGGATAGCCTAATTAATTGGCTCATCTATCAAACACTAATATGAGTATATACAGATAGGCAAACACATATGGTCCAACTGTCAAGTTTCCTCTCATTTTCTTTTCTTTTTAGGACTTTGGGTTTCACAATAAAACAGTTATAAGGATTCTCATTGCCAGAAGTGAGATTGATTTGATGAATATACGACAGCGATACAAAGAGAGATATGGGAAATCACTCTTTCATGACATTAAAGTAAGTTTTTATACACTTTTGCATATATTCAGCACTGGCACCCCACAGACTGTGCTAAGCCCTACCAGAAAAATACAGAGGGTTAATCTCCATTCAATCACTTGGTTAAAAAAAATATATATATATATAAACAATAGCATATCTTTTCAGTGCCTGAGGCTGACTTCAGTACACGAGCAGTGAATTCTCAGCTCACCCTCATTCTATGTGATTTTGTCCCTCCCCAATAGCAAGAGGAGGATATACCAGACAGGACAACGTATGCTGAGGAACACTTTGTGTGAATAGTTTCTACTCTAATTGATACCATCTTCTTTCACACTGTCCTGCAAAGTTAGGCTGATACCACTTTCATGCAAAACTAAGATAAAAATCTGGTTCTACCCTTGCTCTTAGGTACTTTCAACCTCCAGAAAAGCTATTCCTCTTGTGTTCTCGCTCTGTATCTTAAAACAAAACTCTGATGCTGTTTAATTATACAAAAATGACTCTTGCTACAACAATTTACCTTTTTTATGTTGCTATAATCCAACTGTAAGATGTGCAGGAACTGTAAGAAATTGCTCATGATTTTTTGGTATTGAACTTGAGAAGTATTAAACAGGTTTGATCCAACCTTTCAAGGGCAGATTGTTCCTAGCTACCCAAGCAATCAAAGCCCTAAGTATGTGAAATTAAAAAAATCTTGGCCTAAAATTCTTATGAAAACACTGTAAATATTTTACAAAACCTTACAACATCAGTCTAGTCCTTCTCACACACCAAAAGAAGAAAAACTATGAACACGTATAGTCACAGAAATGTTGATTTTTTTTTCTTGCAGCATTTCGCTTCAGGGCATTATGAGAGTGCTTTACTTGCTATCTGTGCTGGTGATGCTGAAGACTATTAAGGAAGAAGAAGATGAATTTTGAAGGCTGTATAAATCTATTTTAAATAGAAATTGAAGCTAAACACAATATACTAACTCCAAGAGACTCCTTTTCTGCATAATAGAACAGAAAAATCAGTGCTATCCATTTGCTAATATTAAATCTTTCTTGAGACAGGACAAAAAGTTGGCAGGAACATGGTTTTATCCCTAGTTCTAATTAATATTTCTGTTTCTATGCTCAATGTAAATTAATGAAGCAAGTAGTAAAACAACTCCATGCAAGCATATGTTTATCATTTAGTCTCACAACACCCCAACCATTAGACAATACGCTCTGGAAGAACCTATTCAGTTCCACACTGTAGAGAAAAAATGTTTTGCTTTATTTACTTTTAGCAGCATGATTTCTTCCTTTAAGTATGTTTTTTTTTCTTTTCTTTCCCACTTCTCATACCTCATATTTTATGCTCTTTAACATTATGGATTTAGTTGTTACCAAACTAAGTATCTGCCCTGTCTATTATGAGTCACTCACCAAAGAGGGCTTTTATATTCTTTTTCACTTAGCCCACATACTTAATGGCATTTCCCTTTTTCTATTTGAAACGAAAGAAAAAATTAGAATCAAGTATCCCAAACGATTCTTGATTCAGTGCCATGCACTGGAAACCCCTGGAAGACGAAGTGGTACATAGCTTTGAGCAGAGAAGTTCCAGAGGAACTCTGAAATTCCATTTGCACCTCTCTCATTTTACTCATTAATTAAATATTGACCTTCAGAGCACTGAGGTATTTCCAGGATGCCCCAGACGGTACCAGTAGGTAACACTGCACCTCCTAAAGAGGCTGGAGGATGCATCGCTCCTCAGAGTACTAGCAAACAGTCTGACAACGTCTGGTGACAACAACTCGTACCGCAACGAGGAAAGGCGGCAGAGCCTGGCCCCGAGCCCTCGTCCCATGGGAAAATGTGACACTGCTTTTAAATATCGTGAGTCTATTCAGTGCGGCCTGGGATGCTCCAGCCCTTGTCTTTGTACCTCCTGTCAGTCTCTTATGTAAATTGGCACAAGGGAAAATGTGCTAATATTCACTATAATAACTGCACTTTGTTTTTCTCCTGCAGCTACAAGGTTTCCGACTTGACACAGACATTCGTTGGTTTTTTTTTTTAAATAGGTACTTTCTGCAAGTATAGCTCAGTATGATTGAATAAAGCACTGCTATAAAAACATACAAATACATGGTTGCTTTTATGCCGCTTGCACCTGCCCCCTCACTCTGTGCGAACAATGTTATTTCCAGTGTCTCTTGCTTTCTTGCAAATACTGACTTTATGTTACAAACCTACTGATCTACAATAAACTTAAAATTTCAATCGAGTCCCTCTTGAGTTTGGTGCATTTCAAAATATTTGAGGGGGATAATGTAATTATCAGGCCAGAACTTTGCAAGGAGCGGCTGTGGGAGGAAAAATAACACTAAGAACAAAAATGAGAATGAGATGAGCCCTATCCCGATTGGTCAGCATTAACAAAGTCCTAAGCCTAAATTATATAATGATTTTGCAACTGCAGATGGAGGCAGCTAACAACAGCCGTACCTCAGCACTGTGGAGTTACTTCGCTTGAACTCCGTGTACTTGCAGACAGGAGCAAGGACCCCCCTCTCAGCCGCAAACGCCTTGTTCCCCCGGTGCTTCCCACTACACCACGTCCCCAGTCCCCGCCGCCACACGCAGAGCGGGAATTCTCTGGAGAGCCTCTCACAAAATGGCGGCGGCGGCGCTAGGGCCCGGCAGAGGCGTCCCGGGGCGCGGCCCCTCACAGGCCGGGCAGGGGGCGGGTCCGATCACACCCGGACCGCTCCGCGCTCCTCCCCGCCGTGGCACCGCCTCACGCCCCCTTCTGCTCTGACTGGAAAGCGGCGGGGTCAATCTCACGCCTTCCCCAATCGCCA